GTGTGTGTGTGTGTGTGTGTGTGTGTGTGTGTGTGTGTGTGTGTGTGTGTGTGTGTGTGTGTGTGTGTGTGTGTGTGTGGTCGAAGACCTGAGGAAGTTCAGTGGTGCTTTGACCTGGGGCAGATACATTTGATGAAGCTTTTGTACTTATGAGAGTTACCACCATAAACCTATGCATAAACTCACGGTAAAGCTACGGGAAAGATATTTGAAAGGTTTCCATTTTTATGTTGATAGAGGAGGGCAGCATCGTGTTTAGGGATTCAAATACCATGTCTTCATTAAACTTAAGTAACTTGCTTCTTATTCATTTTTGTCCATTTGAAGTGATTTGTGTTTGCTGAGGCAGTTTAACAAAAGAGAGAAAACACAACTTACTCTGGCACAACTTGTTTGATCTGTGGTTTTACGTATCCATCCACCGCTTTTGCTGCAAGAGAGACATATCGCCTTACATTGTTTAGTCATTTCAACTTTACAATGCCATCCACTTACACCTCACAACTGAGTTCTATACAAATAAAGAGTTCTTCACTTCACTGTTGATGTGAATAGAAAAGATGCTGGAACTTACAGAGGGGAGGGGTGTAGTACTTGGCGAAGACCTCGTCTTTGGGCCGGTCCGGGTACAGGAACAGAAGATGGTTCAGGTCACTGATGCGGTCCGCCAGGGAACGGATGGAAAAGTCCTTTGTTGTATAAGGCAACAGATTCCAGACCAGCCTCTCACCTAGCCGAAGATCGATAAAGGCAGGAGTTCACTCACTGTATTCATCAAGATGTAAAATAATATATTTTTCGGGGATTATGGTGCATGACCTGTGTAATGCACAAATGAAAATACACCAACAAGTGGAATTAGAGATGTTACTGAGAGGGAAAAATTCATCTTGCATGCATTTCATTCAGTTCAATATTGTGTTAATTAATGACTCACACTTATTGTAAGAGGCATGACAGCAGGGCAGTTTGGTACCTTGCTTGTTGGGGTTCTCAGCCACCCAGGCGATGGTGATGCCTCCAATCTCTGAGTCGCTGAATCGCAGCAGGAACGTGCCGTTGGGTTTGGACAGGAGCATGTCCTGGGCCTGCTGCTTGTTAACAAAGCCCAGGATGGCCCTATGAACACACATATACACACACAAACACTCAGAAAACAAATTAAACCCATTGCTGTTCTTTAACCTGAGGAACATCAACTCGAATCGTTCAAACTATTGCTTTTTGCATTAACGATTTATTTTATATCATTTAAAGAGGTACTGCAAAGATTGTCTTAGCATCGCGACCTTAATAACCAAATGACAATTGAACCGATTGGTTGAGCATGCTTTTGAGACGGTAATAAAAAACCTACTCATTAATTGTTTTCACAATACAGATAAAGGAATAATATTAGATGTATCATATCTACAACGATGAATGAGCGTTCTTGTATTTTAGACGCAAATAGTTGATTTTAATTACAATTGCGTGCTAAAACTAAAAATTACAATAAAAATGACAAACACGCTGTTAGATAGAGCATGTTTTTAGAAAAGCACTATTATTTAAAGAAACAGTGATACCTAGTGGACTTTTTGAGCATAACATACCTAAACCAAGAACAAGATGGCTCATTTCGTTTGACTGAATTTTAACATATTTTAAGCTATAGTATGAAAATAAGATATAGTGACTCAAAATGTGTTCTCCAAAACCTAACCAATCATTAAAGGGTTAAAGCTAGGTCTGCCCTTAAAAAATAACAGCCTTTTCTTTTCGGAGGACCACCAGAAGTATCCTGGAGCTGTACTATGACAATATCTTTGCTCCTCACACGTTCTTCCAGTACTACTTTTTCAACTTACTTTGATCTTAAGTTGCTCTTTTAGCTACCGACATAAAACCGTCTCTTGTAAAAAATGAGCCATTACCCATCATTCCAGTGAGGCTTGAGATGTTTCTTCATGAGCTCCACAACTCCATCAAACCACTGCCAGAAGGTGAAGTTGCGTCCGGGTAAGCTCTCCTAAACAAACCAAACACACCATCAGTACGTTTACAGGCACCCAAGGCTAAACCAGGTTTTTGCTGTGTGCTATCATTGGTCATTTTAACAGCAGCAGATGCTTCTGCTTCTTTTTTATTTATATACCGTGTTGTTATTAATACATACACAGGTTGCCGTATCAGACTGTCAGTAGGTAGATCATGAAGAAATACGCTGGAAGATGCTCACCCTGTTGAACTGGGCCCAGGATATGCTCACGTTGCGGAAGTCCTCAGGGTTGTTGCTGCTGCTTGTAAAAGCTTTCTGCGCCAGGAAGACCATGTTATCTTCCGACAGCCCCCGCCCACTGTGCATCTCTGCCTTGTACTTCATATCTAGGGCCTCACACAGCTGGGGCCACATCACCTTGTCTGGCACGATGAACGGCACCCTGCCCTGAGGTGGAAACATGGAGGTCAAACAACCAGGGTAGAGGACGAGTATGTAGATACATTCATTGTTAGTTTTGCTCTGTATGTTTGGGTCTGTTCAAAATATAATAAAACCTCTGATTAGTTGATGATAGCATTAACTTACCGGCTCAGCGAAGGCGTTGTCCCACAGGACGGTGGCTGTGGCGTTGTTGTCCTGACTCCCATGGACAATCACAACCACAGGCAGTGATAAGGTCTATACACACACACACACACACACACACACACACACACACACACACACACACACACACACACACACACACACACACACACACACACACACACACACACACACACACACTTCTCCGCCTCATTCTGTTTTCATTTACTCGTTCGTTATCTGACCAGCTTCAATCTTGTAGGCTACTCACTTCGTTTCTTGTAGCCCTCGAAAGGGTTTTGGAGGTTGATGCCTCGCTGAACGTGAGTTGTTTGGCTTTCTTGTCCGCAGCAGCAGAAAGCATTTTTCGAATGTTTGAATGAATCAAAGTGGGTCGTCACCGTCGATTTTCTCTTATGCTCCAACACACAGTTGCACGGGGTGCAGAATAGTTTCCCCCCACTTTTTGCCCGGTCTTTAGTAGAAATGTTCGTCGGTAAATGAGATGGATTAGATTTTTTCATCTTGGTGTTTTCTCTATCGTGTGAGCTCCACACGTTCACTCTATACAGTGTTGTTTACATTCTGTGATGCGCGAGCTAATGACGTCACGTCAAGACGAGTTAACTTTTTTTTTTCTCAACTTTGTGTGGAAAAATGCGGGGATTATGCGGCCTTTTGATATATATGCGGCCTTTTAAAAATCTGCGCCATTTTGCTGATTATGCGGTAAATTCTGCGATCGCAGAATCGCGTTTTTCTGGAGGGTCTAACTAATTGAGTGTGTGTAGAATGAAAACGTGGACCTGAAGTAGATACTACGATAT